GGTGCTTTGTGACCACAGGAGGAGAGCTGGATCCAGCCAGTCCTGGGTTCTCACCTTGCTGCGCCTCTGGCTGGCCATGGCACGCTGGCCAAGTCATTGGTCCTCTCAGAACCTCAGTTTCCTCCTGAGAAACATCTAACCAAGGATATTGTAAAGATCAGATGAGAAAACTTCCAAAAAAGCTTCTTGTTCAAGATACTGACCAACCATGACTGTTAACACCCCCCTGCCCAATACCCCACACCAGTTCCCTTTTCCTTTGCTTGGTCATCATTCACCTTCTCCTGGGGCACGGATGTGGCTGTTCATGCAGGCTGGCCCTCACATGGCTGCAGCCCCAAGCAGCCAGCAGGGGCCGAGGTTGCATGCCACAACCCTGAGTCTGGGGGCTGTAGAGAACATACAAGTTTCCTGGGGTCGCATCTCCCTTCTCAGCAACCATAGGCTGCTGGAAGCAAAGATGGACACATTGCCCCAGCTCCTCTGAAAGGAGAATGCAGGCAACAGAGGAAACTTTGGAGGATGTTGGAGAGAACGAGTAGGGAAAAAATGTCTAGGCCGACTTTGACTTGGGGAACCTTGGCTTTTAGTCTCCGGACTTTTTGAGGAGATCATGGATTCCTCCCTCTGTCTCCTCCTTCCGCAGCTAAGAGCCAAGGGCTTGCTGGAGTTTCCACCCAGGGAAGCACCCTCTTCCCTCCATCTCCCCCATGTCTAACAGCTTGTTTCTCTCCGGGCAGGTTTAAGGATTACCGAGAGCCACCATGGGCTCCGAACCCCTACGAGTTTTCCAAGCAGTACTGGTCCGTTCTGTCAGCCCGCCTGGCTTTTGTCATCATCTTCCAGGTGAGCAGTCCAGATAAGGAGCAGTCAGCATGAATTCAGGCTGCGGGGTGGACGCCACGTCTCTGGCTTAGCCCGCTGGAAGTTCTCACAGCTCCATGGGGCACGGTGCTCTCGACACGGCTGGCAGTAGGCAGCTCTCCCTTTCCCCTTGGGGCAGGATGCACAACTCAGAGGGGGCCTGTTAATGGATGGACTTTGTAGAAAGAGAATAAAACACAGAGTAAGGTTACAGGACAGATGTGGAGTAAGTGGCGGGGTAGAGATAAATTCCTATTTGAGCTGAAGACAAGAAAGGCAGGCGGGAAGAGCAGTGGAAACCAGAGTCTCAGGCCTGTGCAGACACACGGCCCCACCTGCTCTCTGCGGCCCTGGAGGGGCTCGGGTTCTGCACCTTTCTCCTGCTCTCACTCCTTCCTTTGTTAGCTGGAGCGAGCCCCTGAGACATCTGCTGGGAAGGGCCCCGGGGCCATCCAGCCCTGCAGAATGAATAGCAGACTGGAGCTGTGATTCCTATCTCCCACAATAGCTCAGCTCCAATTACAGCCCCAGATTCTCTGAGCGCCAGGGCCCCTTTCCCCTGGGGGTCCTGCTTGCCTTTCTAAGACTCCCTCAGGCTTTTGTATTCCCTGAAGGCAGATCCCTGGAGGGCTCTAAAGTATCGGAGCCCCCAGACCCCACCCCAGGAAGTGGAGAAGCCCTCAGCTAGCCTTTCAGCTCAAGTAGACGGCCATTCTTCCTCTGGAGAGATGGGGCGATAGGGGAGAAACAGGACTCAGCTGTCCATCCTCTGTGCTCCGCCTCAGGGTCTCCTCATTTCACCACACGTTGCATCCACTCACTCTGGGGAGCTGGTATGAAGAGGAGTAGGTCCTGCTGAAGCCACCCGAGGGCAGCCGAGGCCCCCAGGACCTTCTGCACCCAGCCGTAGGTTCCCAGACTTTTCCACTGGGGTCTCGGAGCTCACAGGGGTCCTGGTTGACTTGGGAAGGGGTCTGGAGCCTGGAAGACAAACGTGCTCTGATTATCTCTTTCTGGCTGCACTTACTGTCCTCTGGGTCCCGGAAGGGAGAAGTCACATGAGCAGAGAGAATACCAAAGATAGAGGAGTGTGGGGAGGAGCGTGGGGAGGAGGGCTAGCCAGCACCCACTGGCCCCTGGCCTCACTGTGGGGACTGAATCATCAGTGCTTCCTACCTGTGTTCCTGGGGAGGCATGTGCCCCTGAAAGAAGGAAGGGTGTGCTTAAGACAGACCAGAAGAGCTGGGAGCTGTGACCCCCAGACAGGCCTGTGTGCTTAGAGAGGCCTGGACAGAGCAGAGGGCAGGAGAAGGTGGGTGTGAATAGAGGGATCGTTGGCTGAAGGCAGAGCTGGGTGTGGAATCTCACAGTCTAGCTCTGAAACAGAGGACAGCAGTTCAGCTGGAAAGGGAGAGGGACAGCTGGCCCAGTGAAAGCCTGGAGAGGCCAGTGGACAGCGTGGCCACTCCCAGGGCGGCTCTGGAGCAGGGCACCTAGGGCCTTAGAGAACAGGAAGCAAGAACATCCCCTGATGGGCTGGAGGGGAGGAAGGATCAGTGGCTGGCACTCTGCCAGCCCTCTGTGCAAAGTTCTGTAGACTCCTTGGGTCCTCACAACCCTGCCGGCGGTAGACTGTTATTGTTCTTTCTCCAGAGCTGTTAGGCTGTTGGCTAAGATCACCTGCTTGTGAGTAGCAGAATCATACCTTGGCTGCAGGCTGCACTCTGTACACACCACCACTGTGGCGCCCTCACTGCAGAAGGGCACAGGTGGCTGGTGGTGCCAGGCTGAGCCAGCTGCCTGCTCTGAACCCCTCTCCCTCACTTTCCACAGAACCTTGTGATGTTCCTGAGTGTCCTCGTGGACTGGATGATCCCAGATATCCCCACGGACATCAGCGACCAGATCAAGAAAGAGAAGAGCTTGTTGGTGGACTTCTTCCTGAAGGAGGAGCATGAGAAGCTCAAACTGATGGATGAGCCAGCCCAGAGGAGCCAGGGAGGGGGACAGGAGAGCAGGAGGAGCCGGGTGGCCAGCCCAGCAGCCTCAGGCAGGAGCCAGCGGGGCAGCGTGGCCTCTGCCGGTTCTCAGCACACCAACGTGTGACCGGCCGCCCCCTGCGCAGGGCTGTGGTGGCAGCGGGAGCATGCGCACTGTGCAGCCCTCTGCGCGGGGATGGAACAGGTGATGCTGCTTTTCAGAAACTTCAAGCTTAAGTTTCTTTTAGGTCCTTCTAAGCCGCATCCTGTGGAGGATTGGTTCCCATTTGAGTCAATGGAGGAATCGGGTCCCTCTACCCAGGATTCCCAGACACCATGAGCCTCCCCTGTGTTCCTTCCGGCATGCTCCCATTCCACACGCCCGCAGGCTGGGAATGAAGCTCAGGCCCCTGTCTTACCATGCCATAAGCGCCCTCTGCCCCTTTTCCACCAGCCCCCGAAGGAAACCCTCTGAGTCACTTGCAGCTGGGGCTGTAGCAGCTTCAGTGGATGCAAATTAAGTTAGAGGACTGATTGCCGGGGCCATGGGACCTGACGATGAGCAGCAAAGGTCCAAACTTGGGCTTGTCCCAGTTCATGTGACAGGGATGCTTTGAGCTAAATGCAGTTAACCATCACTTACTTTATGCAGGTTGAGATTTAAAATAATAAAATAAATTGAAACATCCTTTATAAAAACTCTTCTCCTTGCAAGTGTTTTTTGTTCTCTCTCGCTCTCTCTCTCTCCCTACTGATCTTAAATGAGCACCCACTTTGTTCCAGGCATTGAGCATTGCTTTCTAGTTGGAGACAGAGACACAGCAGAGTATGTGGAATGAAGTACCCATCTTAGGGATCTTGTATTCCACAGAGAGACAGACAATAAGTCTCTGAGTGTATAGTACTTTAAATAGTCATATGAGCCAAGGAAAAACAAAGTAGAGAAGGAAACAGCAAGTAAGGACCTTCTCATATGTGAACTAACACCAACCCCAACGTGGTTTAAAGGTTGCATCTTGCAGTGCTAACATCACTCATTGATGTCAGCTTCCTAGACGTCCATGGTGAGAAAAACTTCAAATATTGTGGGAAACAAAGACCAAAAATTATTCACCTTTGCTTTTCACAGAGCCTAACTGCACCTGTTTTACTTCAAAATCCTCTTCTTGCAGCTGGTCCCAGTTCTTTACACACCAGTCTGAGTTGAGTCAAACTCGGTCTTAATGGAAGCAGCAGGGAGGGCCCAACTCCAGAGGAGAAAGGCCAGGAGTTGCTCTGATGTTTCAGCGTACCCCGTAATGCAAGGGCCTGTCGTATGAGACTGGTCACCAGAGCAGCTGCACCAGGTTTCTTTTTTCATCCTGAGCACACGCACAACTGCACTGGCCATCAGCTCTTGCTCGAGAAAGTGGCCCTCTCTCTTGTGGGGACACCAGGGCATAGATACATCACTTACTCTCAGACCATCATGGCCAAGGTCATGTACGCAAATGTCATCCTGCAAAGCCCTAATAAACTTGAATTATATCACAGCTTAACGTTCAGACATACTGTGTGAGGCTAGAAGTAAACTTCAGTAGTTTCAAAACACTGTGTCATCTTACAACAGACCAGCTAATTTGGGTGAATTGTTCAGTGGGAGGAAAATTTCACTTCAAGGAGCATTAATGACATGGAGAATCCAGGCCCATGAAGAGGAGGCTATTCTTAAGAGGTTCCTACCAGTGTGGGAATGTTGCTACTTCCAGACACCAGTGAGGGTGCACAGATCCAGGCTGCCTCACCTCAAGGCACCTGTGTTCCTCTGAGGCTTCCTGAGCTCACAATTCGGGCAGGACCGCACTCTTCTTTTTAAAATTAAACATTGTTCTGTGATCCTAGAGTTGAAGCTCGCATAGCAAGGGAGATTCAGGCAGTCCAAAAAACAATGAAGAAGAAAGGAAAATCAACCAACATCTGTAATTAAAAATCGGTAGTCATTATGGGTGGTTCCCTCTCACACAAAGTGACAGTAACACTGTACATGGTTGTCTGTTTCACGCCATGGCCCTCACTGATTTTCCCAGCCTCAGAAAGATAAATTAGCTCTTTCAAAAGGTCCTCACATTGAACACCTTTGTGTCAGGCTCTGTGTTGGGGGTTTGGGACACGTCACTTAACACTAGGACGCTTCCTGCCCTTGTAGAGCTTAATGCTGCTGTGGACAAGTTAGAGACCGGTAAGGAACCTGAGAGCGAGGAATCCATCATCCTGTTAGAGGGTGGTAGTGCTCTGGAATAAAGGAGGAGCAAGGCAAGACGAGGGGTGTTGGTGGTGGGGATACGGGTTCCATTTCCCTTGTATTTCTGGAGGCCCTTTGACCTTTTTATCCTGCCACACCCCACTGCTAACCACTACGGACTGAGGCTGCAGACCTGTGCCTTACTATCTAGGGATCACGCTAGACAAAGTTACCTGGAAGGGTCTAGATGATACAAAGAGGGAAGGTTCGATCAAACCTGTAGGGCAAATGGATTAATCAGGATGTATGCGCCACTGCAGCGCTGGTTGTGCGAATGCAGAAGGCACTGGGGAGCATGCGCAGTGCATGCCTGATTGTGGCCAGCTGGGGGATGGGTGTGTGCGCATGTGCGAGTGTGCACACCTGAGCCGAGCGGCGAGGCTGAAAGCAGTGGCAGCGGTAGCAGTGAGAAGGGCAGCAGGACTACAGAGGAGGCGAGACTGTGAGGTGACGTGTGAGAGGGAGATGCCAGAGAGCACCCAGAGACAGCGTGCAGAGAGTCGTAGGAGGCTGGGAAGCTTAGTTGCCTGCCTACCTCCCATCCCGACCTCCTTGCATGCCGGCCTCCTGCTTGGTGTTCCTGGTTCTCTGAGAGAATTAAAGCCCGAAAAGTCCAGCAAAGTCTCTGGAACTCTCCATCTGCTGGAATCAAAGCTGAGTGTGCTTGCTGGCTCCACAGACCACATACAGGCTTCCACCCTGAAAGGACCCAGTATTTGCTCTGTCTCCCAGTGCAAGTGAATTAAGTATATTACGATCTGATCCCACCCCCAGACACAAATCATCATGCCACTGAGCTCTGGGCCTGCAACCTCACACAGCAGCAACAGAGACTTAGGTAAGAACATTTAAATTGCTTGTTAAGGGGGGTAGGGGGGAGGGTAACTGTCCTAACTTAAAAGAAAGCCAACAATGAATCTTCCTTCTCTGAATTTTTTTTTAATTTATTTATTTTGCACATACAGAAGTGGGGTACAGGTCAGAGGCTCAGGGGCAGCAAGAGGCTTCACCAAAGACAGAGTGGGGAGCAGAACAGGCAGATCACAAAGTACACTGCTGAGGGGAGCAGCGGGCGGGTCAGGAGAGGTCTGCCACGCCATGTGGTCACCTCCGGCAGGTGGGGATCGAACTCATGCGCAAGTGGCTTTTGCTTCTTAGTACTGTGCTTTAACCCGCTGCGCCACCAGGGAGGGCCCCCTTCTCTGAAATTTTTAAGGAAATAATACATTTTAATTTTTCATTATAAAAAAAATGGGAACAAAAATCTGAAACATTAAAAAAACTCACTTCCTATTCACCTCCAGAAATAATTGTAGTTAATCTTTTGGTTTATTTAAGTTGTGTTCTTATGCTTTCTTTTCTGTCATTTACATTAATTTGCAATGGCATCTGTTTTATTTCAATGTAAAACTAATACTCAGTGAAGATGTCGAGAATGCAAAAAATATATATGTAAATTAACTAGCTTCAATCACCAAAATATTCGCCACCAAGAGGTAACTGGAAATCAGTTTCCTTTCTGTTTTCTGATTTTCATGCACTGTTGAGCTCATTCTGCAGACACTAGATTAATTGAGAAAGATCCATAAGCCCTAAGTAGAGGTTATGATGAAGAAGAGTTTGGTGACAGTGTTCCATTTCAGCAGTCTTTCCTTATTAAGAACAAAAAGCAACTGAATCAACTTGATGGTCAATTTCAATGAGTAATCCTGATGGTTTTATTTGCTCTTTATAAAAAGAGTGATAGAAGGTGAGGCTCTGTTCCTTTATTCTCTCTGCTCACAGCCTTTCCAGATCAGTGTTATCTAGTCTAATCCATTTGTGAAAATGGGATTATGTTCGTTTTGGCAGAGATCAAAGATACAGAAAGTCATCCCCAAATTCCTTTGCAATAACATGCCCATCAGTTTGCTATCTCTAACTTTGCTTTTCTGCACGAGAATCTTTTGGCTTGCTAATGCTCCCCATGTACTTACTCTAGCCTTATAGATAAGTCATTGTTTTTAAAAAGTGAGATCAAATATACCAGTTGCTCTTATAAGTAGCCACCATTGCAGCAAGAGATTCCAGTGGGCTCTGAAAGCATTTCCAGGAGCCAGAACAAGAGCAAGAAGAGGAAAGGCTGGGACCAGCTTTGTCCTGTGGTTGCTTGAAACATGTGTTAAAATGGATTAGGAAAGCTTTCCTGTCTATTTTTGTTTGTTTGTTTTAATTTTTATTTGGGGTTACATTTTTATTCTTCCATATGTGCACATGTCCTACTCACCTTCCACCAAACCACCTCTGCCACCCCTTCTGCTTCACTCCCCATTTCTTCCTCCCTCCCCACCATTCCTTTGGTAACCATTCAAGTCTTTTAGATTAAGGTTATTCCTGCACCGTTTTGCTCACATATATTTTTTGGTTATTTATTTTCCACAGATGAATGAACCATCCAATATCTTTTACCTTCTGACTTCTTCTGAGGCCCATCCAAGTTCATCCTCTTCAGAGCTGCATAGTATTCCACCGAGTATATATCCCATAATTTCTTTATTCATCTACTTAAGGGCACTTAGGTTGTTCCCTTGACTTGAAAATTTTAGCCTTGCATTGTCATAGTCATCCTGCAGTTGGCCAATCACCTTGCTAAAAATTATTCTCAATAAGGTGGTGTTAAAGGTAGCTTAACAAGATCCCTTAAAGACTTAGCTGCTTATTCCCCAGCTGCTCATGGTCATGCTGTCCCTCTCAGAAACTGCCTTATGGGGGAGTCTGCTTGGGGGCAGCCAACATCTGGAAACTGGTCACTGTAGGGGAATAAGGCCCACCTTTCTTCAATTTGGGGTAACCTCTACAGGACTCCCTTAGCTCCAGAGCTTCCTGTGAGAGTGAGTGAGTAGAACCACAGTTCTACTCCTCCTTCAGCTCAGTTGGACTTTATTCACACCACCTGCCCCTACCATGCTGCTCTAAAACACAGCACAGTTCCCAGCACCATTAGCATGCAAGGATGCCAATCTGGGGCTCAGGATTGGCTTTCCAGAGAACCCAAGACACACAGGTCTTGCTTTTATGTTGGACTGATGACTTGGCTGGATTTACTGTGCTCCATTCTCCATATTTTCCTTCAAAACCTCATGACGATGGCAATGAATACTTGCTCCTGCAGGGTTTTAAATGAAAAACTTCTAGAATCAGCTTGATTATTAGCCCTTTGTGTTTCTCCTTTTCCTCCTGCCTCGGTGCTAATAGGATCTTGAAGTTTATTCTGCTAATTCAAAAATTTCACTGGAATATGTCTTGCTATGTGCTTCTTTTACTTAACGTGCCTGAAATGGGAGGATTACATTTAGTCTGCACATTCACTTCTTTTTCAGCTCTGGAAAGTGTTCTGCCAGCACAGGGCTGGA